TGATGACATCCACTCAGATTGTTAACAAATCAGTCATTTTCACTATCAACGGTCATTTTCAGGACCACTCCCATCCAGACACTCAGACTACACACTTGATCTGTTAAACAATATAATGGGATTGAGGTATTTAATATATAGTAAATAATATGACTCTTTAAAAACTATAGAATAGTAGAATGAAAATGTTTTCACCTCTCATAATAAAAAGGCAACAAGGACTGTTTTGCAATTACTATGCTGCAAGTTTCTGAAGTTGTGGGAGATAATGAACCACAAATACTCACCCGTTTTAGAACTGTCATACATATAATGTAAGAAGTCTTTAAAAATTTATTAATTTGATACACTGAATCCTTGATCGTGACTTTCACGTGTAGTTATGTAAGCAGATTCCTCAAATAGGCGGCAAACAAAGTAGACCTTTCATTTCAACTGACTGTCGTAAAACCAAAGCTGTCACAGCGATCTATCAGAGTGAAGGAAAAATTCACAGGGAATCACTGAGAATTCGGAGTAAAAGCAAGCCAAATGACAAGTGTAGGAAATCGCAGTGACCAAGTTGCCTTTGATGTTAATTTTGCATCTGGTTGGTTGAGAGACTGGCCCACGGTTTCAAGAATTATCACGGGGCGAAGTAAAGCAAAAATCAACGCTTAGTTGAAAGTGGTTCTAAGTTCATAGCTGACTCTCGAGGGAAACACTAACAAAGTTTGGATTGGCGACAATCTTTTATCCTCCACAGGGATTGTCTCATTTGGAGCCGTTGTTTGGTCTCGTCACCCAATGTTTTCTCTTCCACCAAATTTGAATTCAAAGATTGTTCGCTGGTTATCAGGCTTGGCTGGTAATTGGCCGAAAATTAGGGTACCCGATAAGGCACGAGCCAAGTAGTCTTGGCGCGTGCAACTGCTTCAGAAAAATATGAGCAACGCTCTCATTGGCTGCACTTGGGAGAGGAGAGTTACGCTGCAGTTTAGAAGTTGAAATGTACTCGAAATATACGACATGCAAGTAGTGTTCGTAAGTAAGCACTCTAATCTAAATTTCTCCAGTTAAGGTTGATAAAGTGTTAGGCTCTAGTTTTGTTATCAAAGAGCCATCTCTTAGGTGCCTGCCAGCACCAATCTAAGAAACGTATGGGACGACAATCTCTGATCTTTTTCCACCATCCTGCGCACTGAATCTTGTACTTTATCTCGCCCAGGACATCCAGCCAGAAGTCAAACCAGATCAGCCGCATGAAGAGGATGAGCAGTAAATGTGTTGGAGAGAATGTTTCAGACATATGGTACCGCAAGTGCAGCAACGCCTTCTGTTGGTAATCAAACTGATTTAAGCGAAATGAACAGCTATCGTATGGGGCACATAGAGCCGTCATTGCCTCACGCGGATTTCTTTTGAACATTGCCATGAAATCAGGATAAATTCCGCATGACTTAGCGATGTCATCTCCGTAAGTGTAGGCCTCCACTAAAGTAGACAGTCTACGGGAAGAATCTTTAAAGTGGTCGTCCCAAAATAACTTGTCTTTCACAGCTATTCTCTGCCTTTCATCACGGGATGGAAGCTCACACAGACCCGAGAAAACTTTCGCGGTATAAAACGATTGAATCTCGGCCAACGTGATCAAAGATCCGAGCACTGGCCGAACATATCCGATGAAAGCCAATGTCGGGTCTTCGACATTAAACAGATACTTGTAGTTGTGGGTAAGGGGTACCGTATTTATTTCCGTGGGGAGCATGGGAAACTCTGCCTTGTAGCCTGTGCACTGAATGATAACATCAACCTCCTCTTCTGTGCCGTCACAGAATTGTACTTTGTTTCCTTTCACGTTCTCAATTGCGCCTTTTGGAATACAACGGTTGTAGTCAACCACATCAAGCACATGACCATTTTTGTTGATAAAACAATGGAAAAATTTGGCGTTATTTTTCCACTCCGGTATACCATGACCTTGATAGGCAAGTAATGAACCGTTTGACGTCCACTTACATACCCATGCTAGGCCTGCAAGGGAAAGGAGGATGAATATATTGTAAAGCAAACAGAAAAACGACCAAAAACGATCACGTGAAACATCACCCATTATTCTAAGGAGTTATAATGACGCCAAGTTACTTTAGTGGCCGGAGGTTACCCTCTTCCCGACAATCAGTGGGGATGAGAAAAGAGGAGAGAGCGAGTAAAAGGAAAAAAGAAGGAAGAGGAGAGGAAGCAAACAAAAGGCGAGAGGTAAATCTTTCAACACAGGTATAACATCAACAAAAAAATATACATCAATCTTCTGATAGTGAAGTGTAACTCATGTTTTCAGCAGCCTGACCCATGTAAAAAGTAATAAGTTTGCTAACACTCAAGAAAGAAAACCTCACATCCACAAGATGACATGTTAGTTTCGGGGATTACCTGGTTTTCCCTTTAAGAAGGGAGCGATGAATTTCATCGCACGCGATGAAGCCTTGTCCAAGACTTGAGGCTGTCGGTTTGGCAGAATCTTCGCAAACTTACGGAAGAAATGCATCCCACGTGGTATACTCCATATAAGACGATCAACGTTGTCACACCATTCTTCAACAACGTCACTGGCAGTCTCACCTCCACCAATCAGCATCACACGTTTGCCTTTGTGCTCAGGGACGAATGACTTCAGCTCAGAGCTGTGGTAGATTTTGCCATCGAAATCTTTAAGGAGAGTCTTTTCCAGGACTCGATTGGGCTTCTGAACACAGCCTGTGCAAATGATCAAGAATTTGCTGGTGAACACGCTGCCGTTCTCGCATTCAATTCGCCATAGGTTTTCTCTCTTCTCCGCTGTCTTGACTCCGTGATCCAGTCGAATATGAGGCCACAACTTAAACTCGTCACAGTAGGATTTCAAGTAAGCGAGGACGTCGGCGTGCTTAGGAAAGCATCCAATCTCCTCCGGCATCGGAAAATCTGACATTTCCGTCACGGAAGATGACGAGGTCGTTTTTGTAGTCTGCATGACTGTGACAATGTTAGGGTCCTCTGAGAAACACCACAGCCCACCTATCTCTGAACGTTTCTCTAACGTGGCAACAGACAGTCCAAACTCTCGCATGTACTTACACGCCATAAGGCCTGACCAACCAGCCCCAATGATGGTCACATCGTGAAAAATTGAATCAGATTCTGACATAATATTGATTTTGCTCTGCTAAAGAAGAGAAAGTTCAGTTTCTGAGTTATTATTTCGGCTTGGATTTGCAAACAATAATATATCCTGTCATATGATATGTATTTAACAGCTGAGTGGAAGGACCGAACGGGAAATGTTAAGCGCTCGGTTATTAACTGAACCGAGCGCAACTATGTTGAGGCTAATGTCCGAGGGCCAAACAGTTTTCCGTCCATTCCTCCCTATCAGTCGATTAGTATTTCAATATATGACCTCTTACTTCTAAAAAAATTGAAATTATTTTTGAACCTGAATAGGAAGCGATCACTTAGTTAAGCCGAGCGTGCGATGGACAACTAAAGGTGCCATGAGAAAAAAGTTTACGGCGTTAATTCTTCGAGAATTAGACGTAATTTTGCCCTTTTAGTATTTCAGAAAATATAATGCGCAGTGCAAAGAATTAAAACTTTTACATTGACGTTAAATTAGCAAACATAATAAGCCAGGATAGAAAAGCTGCTCAAGGTTGAACGTATATAAACTCGCGTCAATAACTTGTAACAAAACAATTTGCAATTTGTAATAATCTCCATAAAATCCAGATTTGTTAAGATGCGAAAGTTATGATGCAGGTTATCTACATAGGCCGGTTTACCTGCTACTAGCGTATCTGATAAAATAATTAAATGGGGTAACATTTAACATGGGTAAAATTTCCCGAGCGAGTGACCTTGGTGCCGGGAGTGTTACCAGTTTGCTGAATTGACGAAATGCACAGAGTAATTATTTCTGTCTCGTCATCTGTCATCGGAAATAAAAGGCCGGACTTTTGTATTTTTAAAAACTACTTGGTAATAAACTTTGCGAGGCAATAGCGAGTTGTTTAAAGTTGGAGTTAGATGTGGCTCAAAATTTCCAACTATTCGTACTTGTAAAACCGTGACATGATATGTGATAAGATCCGAAAGCTTCATCAGAGACAGTACAAAGGACTGGATCAAATAGGACCACGGCTCCCAGCCAGGCCGGCGTTTTTCGTTTGAATATACCAATGTTGGTTCTAGGGGCGACCGTAGAGAAGCGATATCTCGAGAACCGAGCTTGGTATGAAGACGCCGTTAAAACTAATACATTCAGGAAATTTCCCTCAGTTTAGTTTCGTGACTTACTGAAGATTAATTAGGGAACCGAATGTTCAACAAAATTAGCATTTTCTCTCGAAGAATAAACAAAATTGATATGGATGTTTTGCATGTCTCGTGCCTGATAACTATCTTCTAAACAGAAGTTCTGAGCTCTCTTTTGAGATCGCACATCACTTTAGCAGTTTATAGCTCAAGTACATAGAACACACATTTCTATTTCAAATTTATGCGATGAATGTTAACTTAGATACCAGAAGCACTCAATTTTGACTTCGAAATATATTTGGCTTGCAAAGGTCAAGATCTTAAAGACAAAAATAGATATCCATGCAACGATTAGCCGTTCTCCTCCACAAGTGAGTAACCGTTCTTCGGTCATTGAATAGCTTAAACTGTCATAAACAGTGACGGTAAATGCTATAGGTGGGCCCTGAAAAGAACGAACCTACTATAACGTCTGTGAATAATTGCAAACCTCGTAATAGTAATGTGATCTGGCTTGATTTCATATTCCAAACGATCTTTCTGCAACGAAAACTACTTTTCTTGCGAACCCGACTGTAGCAACTAAAACACCCAATTCACTTGGCTTATTGTTGACAACTTGCATCATTACCGACTAAGAGAAAGAATTCCTTGCTAAAACTTTGCTGGTTAGTATCCTTTTAACTTCAGACTTCTCGCTCCAGACTCCCTCAGCAACCTAGCTTGGTTAACAAAGCGTGCATGGACGTGACAAGTATGCAAACCAACTTACCTGGCGGGGCTCTTGAGTTGACGGTACCAAACACCCGAATTTTTTGATATGGTGGAATGAGCGCGTCCAAAAACGCTAAAATTCAGCCATGGTTCAAAACCAAGTGCAATTTATTTATTACTTTTGTTATTTCATCATACCTTTTAAAAGTCTCAAAAAGTGCGATTCTACATTTCCAACGCGTGTCAAAATTGTTTAGCTTAGATAACTGAGCACCAGCCTTCAACTGCTCTTCCTTTTAAAAAACACTAACCTCAGACTATTCCTGAAATCATAAAGGATATCACTTGCCAGGAAGAACAGCACTGTGTATATTTGCAGTCTGGAAGCCCATAGGTCAGAAACCTTGACTTCCGCTAAGTCCTTAAAGTCGACCCGTCCCCATATTTTTCTACTTTGAGACACAAGTTTTCTTTTCTGTGTGTGCAAAATTATCGTCAAACCTACTTGGTAATGACCAATCAGAGAACAGCTATAATAATCCGTCTCCTTAAATATGTTTTCGCACATTTCAAAACCATATTTGTAAAGTTCGTAAGCGTGTAACGTCAATGAAAAAGGAATGTGTCGGCTCTTTAAACTTTCTTACCCAGTTCTCACGCCTACTCTTTACTCCTTCCTAATTTGAAAATATGTTTAAGAGTGACAGGAGTATTGCAAGCCTAATTGATTGCGTTACAATGCAAAAATCAAACACTGTTGCCTGATGCCTGAAGTTAGTAAAATAAATTACTACAGCAGACAAATTGATAGTGACATGTGTTATTACCTATCCGACACAACTTCGCAAGTTCCATCACATTATACTGATCACCCCTCTTACCAAAAGAAAACATATTCCACAATAGTCCCTACTGAAACTTGAGACCAAGCAGGCAATCATAAACATGAAATATAGCTTTTGACTCGACTCTACAGAATCGAGAGAAAAAAAAAAACAGTTGGATTATGCAGCATCGCATTGTGTCCTTCATTTTATGTTGATTGATTGATCTGAATGTATTTGAAACTACATGATAGGCCTCGATGATAGTGCTTCCTGTTACATAACTCGTGACTATAATCGCTTCAATTCACTGGCGTAACTTTCTCTGCCGATCTATTCACCTTTTTCAAAGATTCGTTCTTTTCGACGCAAATTAACCAGTCAAATTAGGCCCTTATTTTGTCATTTTTCAGTAATTATGAAATTTCATCGAAGAAGACAGTAATTGCGCATGCTGATATGATTTATGTTTCTGTACGTATCATTGTCCTTAGGATTTTCGTTCTACATAAAAAGTAAGAAGATTATAAACAGATCCTGACTTTAAATCTAGTTATAACTGCCTTACCTTGCAAATGACTTTAGAAGAAATACGTTTATATGAAGATGGCCTTCGACGAAGTTTGACGTCAGTACGTTGGTCACAAATGACTTTGAGTCCGCTTTGTGTGCGTTTGAAGGCTCATTACATGATCTGTGTTTCGACTTGTTCTGTCCACTTATCCCGCGGTAAGCTATTTAATAGTTTCTTCTTGCCTGATCGTGTCTGTCTGCCTTTCTTTCGTTTTTAGTTCGCGCTTTTTCAAAGTGGAATTACATGCTCCTTTTCTGTCCGAAAAATCTGTTCGGTAAGGGACTGAAATAATCCAATGAACTGATCTTAAAGTCAGCTCTACAACATAGTTCATCTCTTTGAGAGTGTCATAAATCTGAACAATCACTCATCGCCCTGCTTCTTCGCTTCCGGCTTATACCTCATCGATTCGTGCCGGCGGTCAGCCGCTTCCCTGACTCCAAATATTTATGTCCGTAGAGTTGAATCAACAGGGCAATTAATTAAATGATTACTAGGGTAGAAATAACGAAAATCAAGAGATCATCAACAGATAATTTTTTTTTTTAAATTTTTGGAGCTGTTACAAATTTAATTGCTTACAAAAGTTCTTTTATGACTTAATACTAAACATTTACAGGAATAATGTTAACGATAATGATATATACATTATTATAGGAAATTAACAATGCACTTTGACAACGCGAAGAAAATTTACGTTACACTAAATTAACGCGAATTTTTCAAAAATTAGGTTTACATGCATCAAATTCACGCGAATTTTTCGATAAGCATCTTGCTTTATTTACTGCTATTTTCATAATTCTGCAAACTCGCACTTTACATTTCTGAACGCCAAACTGCGTTTTGGCCTCTGTCAGTGACACCTTCCAAGACAAGTCCACGGATGTTTCTAAGTTTTTGTTGAAGCCGAAAATTTGGTTTTGAAGCTTAACACCCTATCAGTTCAAAAGATCTTTCAAAGCTGCTCAATCGTTTGATTGACGGAAACCAAACCGCAGTTTGTTTCAGTAAATCTCAACATACACATGTCTCATGGAGAAAAAGAAGCATTTACAGTAGTTAGCTTTCAGGAAATAAAGGTGCTTTAAAATAACAATGCTTTAAAATAACGTGCATTAAATTTACATCGACATTAATTAAGATACATTAAATTAACGCGAATTTTGTAAAATCGCGTTAATAAAGTGTATTGTTAATTTCCTATAAGGTATAGTCTAACCAAACTAACCTGTTTTAGGTGGTCATCCGCACAGGTTCCAAATTTTAGGAGTACCATAAAAAACGATACACAACACCACTTGATGCCATAAATGACCACTTAATGAATAAATCTTGCTAAAAAAATACAGCTTACTTTGATTTTGGGAGAGAAACACGGATATAAAAATTACTTGAAAGATTATTCTATATTTGAGTGGTTCCCCTTTCAGTGACCATTCGATACTGGTAGAAAATAATAGAAACAGGCCATTGGGACTTAGTAAAGAGTGACTGTGACCGCTTGATGGAGGTGACCGCTAAATACTGGTGCAAAATTACAGGCAACAAATTCGGGACTTTGACTTTTACTGCTTAATACAGGGTGACCACTTGATAGGGTGCCGCTTAATACAGGTCGACTGTAGTATCTTTCCAGGTTGAGGCTGTCATAATAATAATAGCACTATATTACCATGAGAAATTCTCAGTTTATAATCCTTTGTTGTATGTTGTACGTAATCGTAGTTATACGTAGACCTAGCTTTAACTGATATCGAGTCTATGTTATACTAAGATGCAAGGCCACGAATAGCCTAAAAACCTAAAAGTAAAATCTTAAAATACATGTACGCGAATACAGACAGCCACTGTGACTCATACAATATAGGTGTAATGTGCATGGGTAATACTGCTGGTAATGAATGCATGGACTAAAATTTCAAGCCTGTCCCTAAATGAAAATTTCTTGATTCATCTCATGTTATGTAGACAATAAAAACGAAGCTAGCATTCCACATATTAGTCATGTGCAGTGGCATTCGCAGAGTGTTATTCAATTGAGAACTGAAAGACGATTGAAATGACATTGATGATCATAGTAAAATTTGGCTACTTCCCACTAAACAATAAAGTTAGTCAGACGGTTTCAATAGTCGATATGATAGTTGTTTGAGATGGAACTTTGGAGAGACAATCGAACCTTCTTAGCTTTATATAAGCAGTTCCTTTGTAAGGGAGTTACTAAAGGATGTCTGCGACCACTCAATAGAAGTGACCGCTCAATAGAGGTATAAAAATTACAGCAATAGAAAATGATTTTGACAACCGACCGTTTAATATGGTGCCGCTTTATAAGGTTCGACTGTACTCTAGCCTTGGCAAGTACGCCTTGGAGAACCCCTTACGCGACAATCATTTAACCTTCCTCCCCCCCCCCCCCCCTCCCCGTTAACAGATGCATTTTACGCTGTGGCTCAGAAGTTAAAAAGTACTCGATATATAAAACATGTTAGTAGTGTTCGTAAGTAAGCACTCTAATCTAAATTTCTCCAGTTAAGGTTGGTAAAATGTTAGGCTCTAGTTTTATTATCAAAGAGCCATCTCCTAGGCGCCTGTCAGCACCAATCTAAGAGACGTATGGGACGACAATCTGATCTTTTTCCACCATCCTGCGCACTGAATCTTGTACTTAATCTCGCCCAGGACATCCAGCCAGAAGTCAAACCAGATCAGCCGCATGAAGAGGATGAGTAGTAAATGTGTTGGAGGGTATGTTCCAGACATCTGGAATCGACGTCAAACAGATACTTGTAGTTGTGGGTAAGGGGAACCATTTTTATTTCCGTGGGGAGCATAGGAAACTCTGCCTTAGAACCTGTGCACTGAATGATAACATCAACCTCCTCTTCTGTGCCGTCACAGAATTGTACTTTGTTACCTTTCACACTCTCAATAACGCCTTTTGGAATACAAAGGTGATAATCAACCCTATCAAGCACGTGGCCGTTTTTGTTGATGAAGGAATGGAAAGATC